AAATATGTTTAATTTTTGATTGGAAATTACCGTGTGGATGTTTAATGTATATTGTTATGTATGATTGATTATGCTATTAACGAGATGTTTGAGTGTGATTATATTTGTGGTACACGTTTTTGAGAAGGAAACCAGGAGATAAGGAGGAAAATCAAAGTTTAATTGGGTATCAAACCTCTACCCATAAATTCCTACCCATGATAAACCTCCACCCAACCTAAACCTCCCCCCCATAATCCTCTCCTAAATCAACACCCTTTCCCAACCGATTCATTCTCTCTCAAATCGTCACCCTAGTCCCTCATTAACTCTCCTAGAAACCGCTACCCATCACATCCACCGCTTTCTCGACCAATGAAGAGTCATGCAAGCATTCATCACACCTTTTGAAATCAAATGTCGGCTATATCCAAAGGAAACCTTTCAACCCCTCCATCATTAGCCCACATGGTTCTAGCACCTTCCTAAGCCTATAAATTTGGATTAGAAGCAAACAAGTCTGTGTGGAGATTTCTTTTGTTTGTATCTATTTTTGCAGGCTTCGATGACTCCGAAGAATCAAGAAAAGAGAAGATCTTCTAAGAGAGTAGCCGAGCAAGCAAGACAAGAGATGCTGAGAGCTCGACGTGCTGCAAATGGAGGACATGAAGTTGGAGACACACCTAGCGATCCTCTCATCCTATTCTCTGAAGAAGAAGAAGGACAACCACCAACCAAGGATCAAGTTCAAAAAGGTCAGAAAGTCTCAGCAGTGCAGCTATGACGCTCAACACCATCACCCCTGTCATCTCGACCTCAAACCCGAAGCTTTAAGCGATCTGCTCGACCTCCAATGGAACCCGGATAAGTCTATGCTTAGAAATCAAGCTCTCCGTCTCCACCGCATGATGATCTTGAGGCTAATCACGGCGCTAGTCTCTCTACCAATGAAGCTTGAATATGTGATGTGATCTGAAAATGTTATCACGTACTCTCTCTCTCCCTAAGAAGGAGATAAATAAAAGGAAAATGGTTGATTTTGCTACTGGTTCTCTCTGTCTCTCTCTCTCCTAAAAATGAAAAATTCCCAAGTCTTATAAAAAGAACAAATATTTCGTAGCCAAGAAGATACAAAAAAAAAAAAAAAAAAGGAGGAAAAATATATGAATTAAAACAAAAAAAAAGGAATAAAAGAAATTAAAAAAAAAAACATATATTATATGGCTACAAGAAGGGATAAAAGAATAAAATAATTAAGAGGAGAAGTGTCAGAAGAAGTAAGATGTGAAATACCAGTTGAAGTTGCAGTAGAAGTTGTTACAGAGAGTAGACAACCAATCAGAGAGGATTTATCCAGTGTATTGCAAGTACACAATACTGAGTCTACCATGCCTATCATGGACCATGTTCTAGAAGATGAGAACTTATTTGCAGATTAGATAACTACATAAGAACAGAAATTTTAGAAGAAGAGATTGGAGATCTCAATCAAGAAGTCGAATCACCTGAAGAAGAAGATGGATGCAACTTGTAGACACACCCGTTCTCACAGATCCGAGAAGGAGTCCATTCGGATCTCCTCAAAATTTTGTGCAGACAAGTGATCAAGAAGATGGCATATTTACATCCTTATTTGCCAAAGTTGCCGAATCCGGTGATGTTGTTTGCCAAACCAATGGAGAAAAGTTGGTTGAACAAAATCAAATAATGGAACAACAACACACGGATACCTGAGTCAATCTGAAGGAATTAATGGAGTATCAAAATAACTTGAAGACTCGGATTGACAAAGCTGAAAGAATCTTGAAAGGAGAATTGACAAAAGGTTTACTTGAAGTGATCCAACTCATGAAGAAAGAACGTGAAGCAGCCGAAAAGATTCACAACGAACGTCACATGCGACAAATCAAGGCGATTCAAGATCAAGAAAGCCGAATCAACAAACTTGAAGTTGAACTCACGGTTGCAACAAACAAGCTGGAAAATGTACAAGTTATTTCTATTGAAACACACAATTGTGTTGAAACTATGAAAGCAAACCAAGACCGAGATTGTAAGACCCTTGCATTTTTGGTTGATAACGCCAAAAGGGGGGAAGAAATTCTCAGTCAATTGGCTTTGCAACAACAAGAATTTATTCTTGGAAGCCAACAACAGCCAGTAATACCGACCCAAAGGCGAGGCCGAAGCTGCTGACAATCCACACAAGGACCATCTCAGATTGGTTTTGCTCAGTTCGCGAGTCCTAGTCTTGGTACGAGTACATTGAAAGTTGCTGAAACTCGTGGCTGGTTTGAATGCTCAAAAGGTCCCGCCACTCAGACAACAATATGGACCAAACAAAATCTACCAAGCATGATCAAGAAATGGCCTGCAGCCGATCAAGCCCAATGGATCTCAGACAAGAATAAAGAAGAAGAAGGCAAAAGGAAAAGAACTGAGATGTGGTATGAACTAAGAGATTTCACTGGAAATATGGGCATGAATCTTGGAAAAGAAAGAAGCTTCGAAGAATGTCTTGTATGGTGGGAAGCTGGAGTTCTTCAAGGAAACAATATTAAGGAAGCTTTTGGATATTACATGGCTGGGCAAGTTACAAAGAGATTTCAGAATGCGAAGTTCAAAGATGATTTCTTCAAACTCAGAGAACATGTCAAGGAAATTTTGAAGAAAGACATGGGTGTGAAGAAACCCAGAAGTATTTTATTTGTCTTTTGTAATTAGACCTTCGTGAATTAAAAAGACAAGGAATGTCAAAACGCACATAAAAATTAAAAAAAATGATGATAAAAAATAAAATAATTTAAGATGCGTTTAGGAGCTTGTCAAAAAATTAATTCACAAGTTTCTTTTGATTGTGTCTAGAAAACCATTTGTTAAACTCATCTTGGCTTTGTCAAATAAAATTGAGCAAAAATGATTACTTTTCAAAGACTTAAAGCCAATGACTGAGTATAGGTTTTGACATTATCAAAAGGGGGAAATTGTTAGGAATAAAGTGTAATGGTTTTGATATGCCAAATATGTATTTGTAGAACCACCAAAGTGTACTGGCAGTGTTGGTTCGAATTTCCTCAATTAATTCACCTTGAAATTGATCACCAACTTCGCCTGTAACTTGATCTCTAACTGGGTCACCAACTTCAACCCGTACTGCATCTCCATTTTCACGTGCGGCTTCACCTCCAAAATTATTATTAAAAGAATTTCCAACTTCTTCTGGATGAGGGATGAGATTTTCTAGAGAATTAATTTCCAAATCATCCATTCCCTGCAAAACATCATCTATACACGTATCATTAGTATCACAAAAATCAGTATGGCACTTGTTACCATTTTGTTCGATTTCTTCGCCCATTGCGTCATTTTTGATCTGTGATTTTTCGTCGAATACCACGTGTATGGATTCTTCAACCACCATTGTTCTTTTATTCAAAACTCTGAACGCCTTGCTGGTAATTGAATATCTTAGAAAAACTCCTTCATCTGCACGCTCATCAAAAGCTTTTAGATGCAATTTATCATTAATATGAATAAAACATTTGCATCCAAAAATATGAAAATAACCAATATTTGGTTTTCTCCCTTTATATAGCTCATATGGTGTCTTCTTGTACTGCTTATGGATCATGCTTCGATTTTGCGTGCAGCAAGAAGTATTGATAGCTTCTGCCCAATATCGTTTCGGGAGACCGGCTGAACTAATCATCACTCGTGCGGCTTCTTTGAGTGTCCGATTTCTTCTTTCGGCAACACCGTTTTGTTGCGGTGTTCTTGCGGCAGATAATTGATGAGAAATTCCATGTGAATTGCAAAAGGCTTGTATAACTCCATTCACGAACTCGGTTCCACGATCCGTTCGTATTTTTTATATTTGCAATTCTTTCTCATTTCGTAATTGCTTCAACAGCTTCGGTAGGACTTGCTCAACTTCATTTTTCGTCTTGAGAAACACGGTCCAAGTGTACCTGGAAAAATCATCAACAACAACGAGAGTATATTTCTTACCACTTACACTTATTGGATCAATCGGTCCAAATAAGTCCATGTGTAGTAAGCTTAGCGGTCTTGATGTTGACTCGTGTGTCTTTGATTTGAATGATGATTTGATTTGCTTTCCGCATTGGCATGCATCACATACTTGGTCCTTCTTGAAGATAATATCTGGCAAGCCTTCAACTAGATTCTTCTTTGAAAGTTGATTGATAGTCTTGAAGTTTAAGTGGTTGAGCTTTCTGTGTCATTCCCAATTTGCTTCATTCGAATTTCTCGCCATTAAGCACACTGAATCTTTGCTTGTACTCCAATCAACAACATACATGTTTGTTCGCCTTTTTCCAGTGAGTACAACTTCATTTGTGAGTTCATTTTTTATTACACAATTATCTTTAAAAAATTCTACAAGATAGCCTTTATCACAAAATTGACTAGTGCTCAACAAATCGAATTTCAAGCCTTCAACGAATGAAAGATCTTCAATCTTTAATCCATTTTTCTTGATTGTGTCAACTCCTTTTGTGTTACGAATAAAGTGTAATGGTTTTGATATGCAAAATATGTATTTGTAGAACCCCCAATTTTATTTTATAGGTCTAGTAGAGTCTTAGACCATGATCGGAAAATTATTTAATTTGCAAAAGAGAAAAACAGAGGAAGATGCATGAAAATAGAAGAAGAAGATATCAAGCCTAAAATCAAGAATTTGTTTGGAGAAAATGACAAATTGAAGAAGAAGATGAATGATATGAAAATCAAGTCAATGCTACTCAAAGAGATATCCCAGAAGAATTTTCGTGAAAGAAAATTAAGATTGGAAGATTGCATGAATTTGACTTGGAGATCAAGCATCTATGGAAAGAAAGGAGTACATCAAAGAAGATTGAAAATTTAACCAATAGACCGTATGGACGAAGTGGAAAATGCCTTATTTATTATGTGAAATGGCTCAAGTTTGAATCTCACCATCAATAATATTAAATTAAATAAATAAAATTAAGTATGAGTTCAAAAATGAAATCGAGTTGAAGCTTTACAAGCTCTTCTTTTCCAGAAGATAAGATAGTTGAAGCTCTATAAACGGAGATGAAGTTAGTAGCTAGCGTATCTTTAAAGATACAAGAATTCAAAAATGAAATCAAGTTGAAGCTCTACAAACAGAGATGAAGTTTGGGAACTCATTTGCATGAAGTTGATACAAGAATTCAAAAATGAAATCGAGGATATTCAAAAAGGAAATCGAGTTGAAGCTCTATAAACGGAGATGAAGTTAGTAGCTAGCGTATCTTTAAAGATACAAGAATTCAAAAATGAAATCGAGTTGAAGCTCTACAAATGGAGATGAAGTTTGGGAACTCATTTGCATGAAGTTGATACAAGAATTCAAAAATGAAATCGAGTTGAACCTCTACAAACGGAGATGAAGTTTGGGAACTCATTTGCATGAAGTTGAAGCTCTACAAACGGCTAGCTTATCTTTTCTGACACTTTGCCAGAAGATAAGATAAGATCTCTGACAAAAAGATATAAGAATTCAAAAATGAGATCGTCTCTTTCCAACGGGCAGATTCTCATTACCAGCTATAAAATGATGAAGATATGAAGACTTGAAGATGGGGAACACACGAACAAAGAGCTAAATAAGAGCAAGACATACGAAATAGAGCATAAGAGAGCAAAGAGCAAAAGTCTCATTTGGTACAGAGCATACCAAAAGAAATCTTCAAGTGAGAAAAGAAAAAGAACTCAGAGAGCTTCTAAGAGAAATATTTTGAGAGTTCTAAAAGCAGAGCTAAACAGAGCCAAAAAAAAAAAATCAAGTGCTTTACTTGATACATTCAAAGAGAGAAAACACTCAGAGCTATCAAGAGAAATCATTCAAGAGTGTTTAAATCTTCATCAAAGAGACCTGCATCATATTGAAGATCTTCTACAGAGTCTCAGAAGTTGGAAGCAAGACAAAACTTGTTTTGGAGCAAAACAAGAAAAGGGAGGAAAGTAGCACGGAGCTGTGAAATCTTGGATTGTCACACGGAGCTGTGAGATCTGAAGCAGCAGTGTCGGAGGCGCTGAGCGTGATTAGTGCGGGCTTTGTGATCAAAGCACTAGATCACGGGATACGTTTCTACCGGAGTGTGGATATAGTGAATTTCTCTTGGAGATAAGAGCAAGTGGAGTAGGAGGATTACGCCACCTCCGAACCACTATAATTGTCTTGTGTTCTTTACTGCTTTCTTTACTTATTGCTCTTTACTTGCTTCTCACGAGATATACTTGTCACAATCTCACACACACTTTATCTTTATTTATTTCCGCTGCGTACCATACTCTAACAATCTAGTTAAGAGTTTTGGTTTCTCTCTGCCTTAGCAATTGTTGTGCTGCGCGAAAATTTGAATGTCTATTCACCCCCCCCCCCCCCCCCCCCCCCCTCCCTCTCTAGACTTTCACCTTACCTCTTTTTGGACCAACATTTTGTAATTCCATAATTTTGATTTCCCCCGAATATAAGTTTTGGTCCATCGATTTCTTTGAAATTCACTAGATATGATTTATTTCTAGTCATGTGGCGTGAGCAACCACTATCGATGTACCAAACATTCTGCAAAAAAGATTAATTAACTTTAGGTACCCATACTTGCTTGGGTCCTTTACTGTTAGTGATTTTTTGTAACCAAATCCACCTAGATCTTATTGAATTAAGATGAGGCGATTTGTAACCATTAGAGACACGATAATCATAACTCACTTTTGAAAACATTTTTGGCGCCGGGTTTTGAAAAACATTTTTATATTTTGGCACCTGGGAAGAGGATTGTTGCTTTGGTCTATAAAAAGCATTACATCTATTACACAACCAATCCTTTTGAGTGGGATAAGATCTCCCAACTCTATTTCTAGAAAAGCTTCTCTCTTTTCTATGAAATCTTTTTGCACTTGACTCTTTGGCATATCTTCGCTTGAAGAATTTTTGTTGCTTTGCCGTAGTGTAGATTTGTTTCGGCCTTTCAACATTCAACTTTGCTTTTGTTTGATAGCCAAGTCCTTGTCTCGTCGTGCTATTCTGACTTTTAACTAATTTTACCACTTGAACTTTATTTTTTAAAGTAGTAGTAGAATTAGTCAGATTTTGAGGGGTTTGAGAACATGTGGAGTCAGAACCGATTCCGGTTCTATCTCCTTATGGCTTTTGCATGCTCACCATCTTATCCATTATTTTGGACGAGTTAGTGAACGTAGCAATGGTTGCCCGATGGTTATGTTCTCTAACCTCTCTTGCTTTACACTCTTCTTGAAGATGAATATTTTCACTCTTCAATTTACTCACTTCAAGTAAAGCATCTTGCAATTTTTTATTCATATCTTCCTTTTCAAGAATTAGAATATTATTGCGCTCCTTGAGTTGAGGATGAGTGAGCATAATCTCTTGACAATCTCGCATTAGACTGCCAATAGATTCACGAGAAAAAGAGGAATTAACAGAATTGAAAGAATTAGATGTTACCTCTTCTTCCTCTGCTTCAAGAACCATAAAGCAATCTTCACTTGAACTCAACCCAATTGACTTGCATACTAGCACCGTATCATCATCCGAACACGAGCTTTCATCGCTTGATGATGATTCCCCCGAATCATCATTTTCGTTTGGTTCGTTTCTAACGAGAGCTTTTCTTTTGTCGCGCTTGAACCTTTTGCTTTCGGATTTGTTCGGCGTAAATTCCACATTTTTGCCTTGATAGTTGCTAACGATCGGATATGGACAATTTATTTTAAAATGTCTGGGTTTGCGGAAATTGTAGCATAAATCCTTGTTTTCTTCGACTTTTTCTTCTTGTGTCATGCGAGAGACGAATTTTCCACGAGCAGAATTTTTGTTGTCTCCTTTTCGCATAAACCTTTTAAATTTTCTAGCAAAAAGAGCAAATTGTTCGTCAGTTGTAATTGACGCCCAAAGCCAAACTAGCGCCCAACTCCATCAGACTTAATTAATTTTGGCTTCTCAAATTTTACCTTGTAAAATTGTTGTTGGTGAGATTTGAACTTAAGCCATTTCACATAATACATCAAGCATTTTCCACTTCGTCCGTACAACCTATTAGTTACATCTCCAATCATCTTTGATGTACACCTTTCTTTCCATAGATGCTTGATCTCCAAGTCAAATTCATGCAATCTTCAAATCTTAATTTTTTTAAACGAAAATTCTTCTAGGATATCTTTTTGAGTAGTAGCGATGTGAAACTCATATCATTCATCTTCTTCTTCAATTTGTCAATTTCTCCAGACAAATTTTTGATTTTAGGCTTGATATCTTCTTCTTCTATTTTCATGCATCTTCCTCTGTTTTTCTCTTTTGCAACTTAAATAATTTCCCGATCATGGTCTAAGACTCTACAAGACCTATGAAATTGGGGGTTCTACAAATACATATTTGGCATATCAAAACCATTACACTTTATTCCTAACAAACATGCTTGCTAGTAATATCATAAAGCATATATCCTTTTACATTGACAGGTACACCCAAGAATGTACATTTCTTGGCTCTTGATTCCATTTTGTTTCTTCCTTGAAGGGTAGTAGATGCAAAACAGAAGCAGCCAAAACCCTTGAGTTGGTCATAATCTACACCTTTTCCAAACAATACTTCAAAGGGGGCCTTCTCACCAGTTTTTGCAGGTGCTAACTTGTTAATAAGATAAGAGGCATGCATAACACAATAGCTCCAGAATTCCATAAGTAATCCAGATTGAAACCTTAATGCCCTAGCCACATTTAGGACATGTTGGTGCTTTCTTTCTACAATTCCATTTTGCTGTGGTGTATACACACAAGACCTTTGACGTACAATCCCCTTTTCATTGTAAAAGTTACTCATCTGGAACTTAGTGCCATTATGTAACACCCCACTTTTTCTACATCTTAATTATAATTCTAAACCACAATTAACATAAACTAAGCAGCGGATAAACAACTAAATAAGCAAACTAGTGGGAATGTCACCGTCACAACCACCACTCCGTGGTGATTGCACAGGCTAAGGGTAGAACTAGAAATAAAGATAAAATAACTAGCATCCATAAACTTAACTGAAAGTCATAAGGGGGAAAAAGACACCCCGGAGTCTACATCATTAACAACATAAGTCTAAATTCCGATAGATAACATCATAATTAAAACATTAAGAGTTTAGACTTCTATAACTACTAGACTAGTCTAACTCGTTCAATTCTCAACGCTAGGCCCACCTGAAAGGGGTTTTACAAACAACACATAGACAAATAGGAAAAACACCCGTTAGCACGAAGCTAAGTATAACCACACTCAACCCTGTAAAGTACTATAGAATATACTTTGAAAAAAAAAACATTTGTTCACAATCTTTAATCAAGCAATCTCAACACTTAGACAACTTTAAGATACATCACAGACTTTCTGTATGCTTGCAACCTATAATATCAACAGGCATGCTTCAAATATATAAAACTCATCAACATAAATACTTCAACACATATTTCTCATAACAATTTCATCATAACGAACTCAAGCTATCAATAAATCTCATACTAAAAACCAATACGAAATTATCTTCATGCTTTCAAGATCACATCTTGCAAACTAGATATATAAGATATCAAAATGCAACTAAAGAAATCATGCTCAACATACAATCTCGGTTGATCATACTCATTATGCAATCTAGTGCAATACTATACTCACATGCAACCTTATGCACACATTCTCATTATGCAACCTTATGCACCACGATACTCAAATGCAATCTCGAGCAATACTATATGATAAGTATACGTATACACTCGTTAGTAAATAGAATACTTTTCTGTGGAGGTTTCTTGCTTGCTTTCTTTCTCTGGAGTCTCTTGACACGATTTATTTCTTGTTCAAACTTTCTCATACTTTCTCGTTTCTCTTCTTGTGCGAGGCAAGTACTCCGCCGCAGCGAAGCCCTAGCGTAAAGAGCAATCGCGTGCATCCGCCACATCCATAACTACGGAACCTCTAACTCGTGGGGAG